TCTCGAGATTCGGTTTGAAACGAACGGGTTTGCATATTCTATTAGATTACCGCATTACCGTCTTTTAAGATTCTTTTTATTTGTATCTCCGGCGCGATAATGTTCTAAACCCTCTGCAAATGTGCATTTCTTCAGCTTATAGCTACAGCGAAATCACAATGCGATTAAATTTTGTTTACATAAACGTTGTCTAAGTAAAAAATAGATGCAGCGGAAACTTTTTTATTTATTTATTTTTTAAAATTTATTTTTTTAGAAAAACGCGTGTGATTTTAGTTAATATTTTAAGTTAATGAATACTGCAAATTTCAGATATAATTAATTTCAGCAATACTTGAATTATTAACCACATAATTTTTTCGTTTACATAAATGTAATTATTTTAAGTGTCAATGCAAATCCATGCATTAAAATACGTTCTCAATGACATAAATTACTGCAGTAATGTGCTTCCAGCTAATTTTTTAAGTAAGCGTAAACACTCACAAGGAAGCCATATGCGCAATGCAATTAAATTCATTTTGTTTAGAGATTTACCTATATATATATATAGAGAACAAAAGATATTTACAAAGTAAAACATTGTTATACTTTTAATCCTTAAAACATAAACTTGAGGCTTTTTCATCCTTAACAGCGCGTGATCAGAATACAAGACGCATGTAAATTGCGTTGCGTTACGTCCAAAGCTTAAGGCTCCGTGTCTTCTATTCTTGTACATCATACCTGCTAAAATGAAATGAAGCGGAATTTTCTCAACAAGTTTCAACAGATATTGTAAATACTTACGGCAGTAAATTTGGTTGCTGCTTAACTGTCCCGTTTTCAATTTTCATTGTCCTTATTATATATATAGTACGCACTACGAAAATTTTTCCCAACGAATTAAAACCAAAGTATGTCGTTACAAAATCTAATTAAAAATTGAAAAAGTAGCTTCCACACAATTTCATTAGATATAAATATAAGGCAACAAATTAGTTAATTTTGCCTTTTTGTAGATAATAAATGCAGCAGATAATAAATGCAACAGACACCATATCGTTTCATATATAACAAGGAAGTAAAATAATTTCATCACATAGGAAATTTTATTTGTATGTAAAGGGAGGGGCTTAATTAAGTTATAAAAAGAGCGAAAAAAATAGAAGTACTTGCGATAATTTCTAAATCAGACAAACACGATCCTCGACCAACAAAATTTTATAGTATAATAAAAATATTGTTTCTAAACTATTCATTCATATATTCTAGGCGACGAACAAAACCTTAATTAAAAACAATAGAAATTTTAATATACCGCTATAAAGCTGTTATTATGTCATATATTTTTTTGCGTATATTGCAGCGGATATGATACAATGTGATATAAGTCTATTCAAAATAATAACTGAGAATCATACCACATTACATGCACATAGAATTTTCTACTGACCGTGAGCTTATGTTTGGACGAAGGTTTGCGTAATTTTTAGGTTTATTGGTGCAATTTTAATAAAAAGAAATTGAGATGGAAGAAGTTTAGGGTTAAAAAAAAATATTCTAGTCAAACTTGATCTGATGAGAATGAAAACAAAGTAATCGGAGATTTTCTGTTGAATTGGTGGTATGGAAGCACGCGAAATCACCATGCATTAGTGAGAAGTTTATCAATACCACATATTTCCACTAACTCGTCTTTATTTACCAGATTTGTAAGTTTTGTGCGCTTCCCGGTTTTCTTATTTTGTTAATAATAATTTTGTTTGATTTTACATCCTTTACTTTCTTTCCTTATATGTAGTGCTTCGTTGGCAATGAAGCTATCGTTTCTCCAATTGTTATTAGTATATTATGGTTTTTTCTTTACACGCTTTTAGGACGATAACTTTTTTTGTAAAGTTTTCCCAGATAATTTAAAGAAAATAAAATGCACACTGCGCATTTAAAAAGTTTTGCTCGTGCTACGTATGCAACGATTGATTCCAATGATAATGTTAAGTTCATTACAGCATTGACGATACGGATTTCTATAATCTCATCTCATAAAATAAGTGCGACTTCTTGAAAATTTCCAAACATCTTTCTTTACTTATTAGTGCCTTGAATAAATACTGTTCTCTGATCAGAAATCCTAAAGTCGATAAAGAAGATAGTTCGACACATATGCTGTTGGAATAGCAATCCCGTCAACGGCATACCGGCGTCTGTTAATTCTACCATCGTCTCTCCTTTCTTGCTGAAAATAACTTCTCCGAACCAAGAATATATATTTACTTTGGCTTAGTTTAATAATCTTCTTCTTTTTTTCATATTAATTTAGAAACCTTTTATGGTAAAATTTCCTAGCGAATTTACAGACGCAATTGTAAAAAGCACTTTTATTTCATTTTATTCCATAACTTATGGGCTTCGAAAATTTGGCAAGAGCAGTGTCTAATAATAGATAACATACTGAAGGAATTTGTAACAATTTTTAAAAACAAGGACATGTTTTTATCAGAAAGATCCAGGTACACTTCGAATAAAAAAAATTAAATTAAAATTTAATTAGAATTTATTAAAATTTTATTAAATATTTTTATTAAATCAAAATTTAATTATATTACAATTTTTTTTTATTCTTTCTAGAAAACGGCTTGCGATATGTGAATTCTAGTGGAAGAGATCCTCAAAACTCAAATCCTCAAAACTCAGCTGGAAAACGACGTATTTTAAATGTTCGGTTTTTGTTGCTTGCGTAATCGGTATGCATAGAAAATGGTGCAAGCGAAAGCCTAAATTATCTCTAAAGATCATTGTAAAAAAAATAATATTTGTGTCCAGTTACAAGAATAAATTTCAATTAGTAAAAAATTTTTCACAACAATACTCCCGGAACTTTTCACAAAGTGAGTTTAACAACAAGTCGCAATGGCAAACATTTCTATTTTATAGCCATCACCGGAGAATAAGGTGTATATTGATTTCGTCAAAACGTTTGCAACTCTCAGAAGTAAGCATCAGGAATCCCACAAAGTATATATATATTCTTGATCAGCACCAAATTTTAAATCGATTTAAGAACGTCCGCCTGTCCGTCTGTGTAACGTATGTTGTAAACATTCTCCTGGCCGCAAAAGTGAAACCTTCGACTTCAAATTTTGCAGAAACGTTGGAAGTTGCTGCACGCAGTTTGGTTGACAATAGGCTAAATCGGTCGACAGCACTACATAATCTGAGAACACCTCTGTTTTTCAAAGGAAATGAAATATTTATTGCTCATTACTCATAAAGTATAGCAAATAAATGTACAAAAACTTAAATATTTTATGGATGAAGCTATAGCATTTGTGTACAAAAATGAAAAAAAAATTGATCACGATTACTTAATATTGTAGTGTATGCAACTATAATTACTTTTTCAATATAACATAACGTGCAGAAACAAGCTTCAGAAACCATAAAGTAGATCAATTCTTGGCCAGTTACAACCCTTGAGTGCACCTAAAGATGTCCGCCTATTGGTCCGTCCATTTGTTTGTTTGCGCAACTTTAGTAGTATTTGGGGTAAACATTCTTACATCAGTGAAAATGAAGATATTGCCTAAAAATTTGCAAAAAAATTTGGAATTGATCTAAACTTTTTAAAGGACACGTTTACAACTCCCACATGTCTCTACTACAAAAATTTTAATTGTGAAAACAGAAGAAATCAACTACGCCCACTCCATATTATGGGGTATGAGAATTTTCCTTTTTTACTTTTATGTCTTTCGGGGTAAACGGTGATGAGTATAAAAGATTCGGTTCCAACTGAATTTAATTTTCTTACTTGTTTTTTTTCTTATATAATCTAAGTCCCCTATCTGTTTAACACGGTGGTGATACTAGTATCTTGGTAGTCGCGATTTTTACCTACTACGCTACTCATGCGGCTAAACAGTCGATTTCGCAATATACATAGTATACTGAAGACATCTAGGATTGAAGTCATTCTTATTGAACCCAGTCTCTTCTAACCTCAATTTTCCGCATGCAAGTAAATATGAAATTTTGTTTAATTTTGTATAATATGTACACAGAATTAGGTCCAATATAAAACAATGGAATACCATGTTAAAATATAAGCGGTACATTCACTAGAGCAATTAGAAGGTTGAAAAAATTTGGGCCAGCGACTTCTACAGAGAAAAATGATAAACAAATGGGAAATACGAGGGTACTTAACAGTTGAACTCGATGGTTTTGACATTTCTTTACTTGGAATAACAGTTTTCCATTTAATATTATTGATTCAGCTTACGCCGACGCTAATCATGGGACCTTCAAAATTGCATTTGTTGTCGTTTAATTTGAATAAATCTGCTGCCGGAGCCCCTCCAAATACGCTTAGAAGCTTATGATGATGCCCCACTATCGTAGCCTAATTATCAGCGTTAGGTTCAACGATTTGAAAGTGGTGAATTTGATGTCAACGACAAAAAACGGCCTAGAGGACCAAAAAAGTTCGAAAACAATGAGTTGAACGGCATAATGGGCAAAAATCACCTCTAACTCTCAAAGAACATTCGAACAGTCAATCAATGGATAAATCAACTGTTTTTAGACGTTCACATGCGATGGGAAAGTTCCAAAAGGAGGGAAAATGGCGACCATACAAATTGACTGAAAACGCCACTTTGGCAATTTGTTGCAATAGTTGCCCAGGAAAACACTGCTATGGCTGGGATGAGAAGCTCTGCCGCATGCAGCCTACTCGCCAGACATGGCGCCTTCTGATTACCACTTGCTTAGTTCGATGTAGCGCGGCTGGTACGCGGATCCGCAATGTTGGAGAAATATCGTAAAATATTTTTGAAGATGATGGAAAAATTATGGTTAACGGATACGGCATATACGATTTTTGTTCATAAATGCGTTTTTCAAGTGAAAAAATGGCCAACATTTTTGCAACCTGCTAATATCACTTTTCAAAATTTGCCTACATGTACGTTTGTTATATATAAATATGTATGAAAACAAGGTTTAGTCATATTTACCCAAAGGATCCACACGAAAAATTACTTCTGGTAAGACTGGATTAAGGAAGACGAAAAGTATCCAGAATGTTGGCCACGCTGGATGTATACATTGTGAATTGTCGCTTAATAAATGCTTAAACGTAGTTTTTCCGTGAGCGTACTGTGGTGTTCTTGACTTCGCCATTCTGATCCTTTACACTGATAATACTAAAATGCGCTATCGGTGTTGTTATTCTATTTTATTGCTTTTATATTGTGGTTATCCTTATTGTCTCGCCATTCCGCTTATTATTACGCTCTTACGGTATGTAAACCTTAGTTTTTGTTACTCTGCTTTAGGTCTTTATTGCTTTACTATGTATACATACACATGTACATACCTTTGGCACTTTATTATAATATTTTTTCGAGTCTTCACGTATTTATTTTATTTTATATGTGAGTTTCGTTAGTCTCGTAGCATAACATATATTTTTTTTTTTTAAGATGAATTTTTAAATAGATTTAATATAACGTTAGTTATTTATGTTTAATTAAAAGTTGACCAGAACATCTGGGATATCTGGGAGATCTGGTTCCTATGCGTCCATTTTCTTTATACCCTAACACAGTAAGGTTGCCTTCAATAAGGTAAACACTCGTGCAAATGAGGGCATGTATCGAAGTAAAAGTTTCCTTAAAATTTAATGTTTGCGCGATATAAGAAAGTTTTCTTTGAGTACCCACAAAGTTAATTGGGCTGAGCATAAATCTTGCCTTCAAACAAAATGGAGCTTCAATCGAGTGTTGAATTGTTGATTCCAAAGTAGTTTTACGATTTTGGGCGATATAAATCGAAGCTTAGTCTTTAAAAGATATATTCAATTATAACGTATAGACCCAATCACCTTTTTCTATTCCTACTGTGTCCCTACCAAATCTAAGCCTTTATATAATAAAAAGTCTAATTTTTAGCATAGCTTTTAGTTTAACTCAGTTATATGTTGCTTTAACGTGTATGCATATTTATGTGTATTGTTCGCTCGTTTTTCAATCGCTATAAAGTTCGGTCGTTTTACAAACAAAATATTATCGCTCGTTGCTCCTGCAAATAAATAAAATTTTCAATAACTTTCGGTAGTAATAGCAAAAAACAATGGCGCAAAAAACTTACATCGTACATATACAAGCAGTTTGATACAGAAATCAAATGCACCAAATTTGGATCATGTAGATACATTTTATGCATCCCACCACACCCATTCGTAGTCAAGCGTTTTTGTTAGAGCAAACTCTACTGCTTGTACGTTAAGTGAAGGACAGGCGAACAATAATAACATTTTGGCAAAAAAATTAATTTTGGTAAACTTAACTTTAGACTCTATTTCATGTAACAGCTGTTTTTAAAAATGTGCATTTATATTGAAAGGAGATACAATTGTTGGTAGTTTTTCACGAAAATAATGAAGCGAAGTGCTGTAGCGTATCTCACCCAACCGTAAATTTCTTACTCTTTTTTTCTTCTAATAGATGCGAATAAGCATAAGTAAGAAAAAAAGGAGACGAAATGTCGGAATATATAGAATCAGTGAATATAAAGATATACTTAACTATTAACCACAAAAGGGGTCGATTACAATCGTTGAGATAGCTTTCAGCAAAGAATAAAAAGATATGACATAACAAACACATTAGCCTTTTTTACTGCAGCAACGCAATACTAAGCAGAATTAAAGAGTAAAACGACAAAAGACGTTTATGTAAACGAAGCAGATAAAGAAAACGTCTGTTACTATTATTGGTTGTCATGTTGCTAAAATACGGCTACGAAATTGGAATACAGTGTGGTACAGGTTTTGAAAGAGCATTTCACCCCAACATATGAGTAAATTTTAGAAAATTACATTTTCAATACAGGAAAACAAACAATGAGAGAAAGTTGCGCGAAAGTTTTGATGACATTAAGGCGGGCATCAAGCGATCGCATTTTTAGTGAATATTTAAGCACAATTCTGTGCAATCAATTCGTTTGCGAAGTTGCTAGTGATCGAATACAAGGTCAGTTGTTAGGAAGATAGGCGTTTGGATGAGGCAATGGGCACAAGAAAAAGGTGCAGGAGAAATACATAATTAAGACGTAACAAATACGAAATTTATATTCGATCGTGACCTTATCTTTTGTACTCATCACAGTGATCCTAAGAAGAAGGTAAATAACTATATTATCGTACTCTATAATATTGAGTGGGTGCGGTTGATTTTTTCTATTTTCAGAATGTGATGTATGCGTTATACTTTATGAAAAACACTGTTTTTGTTGCGTTAACTTCATTTTTACGAACGGGGGAATGCTCTCCATAGGTACTAGACAATTGCTCAGACGGACACATGGATAAATGAATATACGGACATGCTCCGGTACATTCTAAATTTGAAACTGCCAAGCAATTTATATATTTAGTGGATGTTTTGACGCTTGTTTTTGCGCCTCGAAAAAAGTCAAATTTTGATACTTCATAATATCGGGCACGCGTGGTTAATTTTTTCCATTTTTGTACAGGTCGCTCGTAGAGTGTACGTCCAAATTTTTCTACATTTATCTGAATGAGGGATGAGCAAAGAAGCAATTTTTTTATTTCTTCTGAAAAGCAGAGATGTTCTCAGATTACGTGGGGCTGCGCGCGTGTCCTTCGACCCACTTGGCTCATTTGCAACACGAACTCGCTTGCAAGCTTCATTTTTACGGCCAGGAGAATGTGTTCAACAGGTTATGATAAATCAACTTCAAATGGATTAAAATTGTATATAAGCAATAAAATCACGTCAGCTATGGTTAGGCGAACAGAGAAGCGATGGAGTTAAATAAAAAATGTCTTTCTTTTTTTTAGGCAAACGAATAAAACAAAATCGCAACTATCACAGCTAAGGCGACATTTTGTAAAGCCACACGTGTGGCGTGATTATACGTGCTATAACATGTACAAACAGAACATGAAAATGAAGTATCAGAAAGATTGATGGCCAAAGTTGAAAGAAATGATATTTTTTGTGATGGTCAAAAGGAAAAATCGCATTGTGGATATAATAAGAATGCGATTAACCCAAAACTAGTCATTGAAGCAATAGTGCATCCCAACTGATGATTTGTTATTTCACAAGATTGCGGTATGAAGAAATTTTCTAAAATTGGCATATCTTATATACAGATACAGACTTACTCCAACTTCGATTAAACCGTTGTATGAGGTCACACGACCAGTGCTCAGAATCACCACTGTGCCAGCAATATTTTAAAAGATTTAGTAAAAATTATCCGTGACATCCTTGGTATGCGATTTTCTAGATGACATTAAGATGATAGCCGACGACGACGCTTTACATATTGAGGGACTGGTAGGATTGTTTCTGCGCAGTACAGGATTAAATGGTGGGAAATGTGAATACATAGAAAATTCCCTCGAGTACTGCGGACATTTACAAGACAACTGAACAAAAAGGCCGCGCGTTACATGAAAAACGAGCGAGTTCGTGCTTTTCTTGATTTTATAAACTGTAACGCTCGCAGTAATATCGTGAGTTCACTGAATAAGTTGGTGCAATATGATGTAGTATTCCATTTTAATAGATGTTATGAACAACAAAAATTATACTCTCTTTTTATATCAACTTGTTATTATGGAGCTGTATATTACAGTTAGACCTCATTGGAAATAAAGGCTCACTTTCCGTAGGAATGGTTGTGCCAAAGGGTTCAAACATCGTATTACTTATTCGAAATTCAGCATAGTTAATTTTTATATCAAACTACTGTAATGGATCAATTTTTCATCACAACATAATAAAACTTAAACTTTTCTTCCCTAAAAAAAAAAAAAAATTGCTGTAACATATATAGGGCAAGATCCCAAAAATAGGCAAATTTGATACAGCGAATTTTTTTAAACTAAATTGCGGTTATAGGTTAATGTCATCATAACATATAAAAACTTAGACTTCTCCACATTACCAAGGACCAATTTCTGTGAAAATCTGTATACAAAGTAAGATCCAAAAAATACGCCGAGATGATCAAAATTTGGTCCAGTTAATTTGTTTTTGTCTTAAAATACTATTATGATCTGACTTTCATCATGAAGCAAGGAAAATTACACCTCTTTGTCATATGAACTTCAGTTTTCGTTATATAAGAGGAGGTTCAAAAAATTGTTCCAGCCGGTCGAAAGTTCTCATATCAATTTATAATGCCAAAATGCTATTACTTAGCCGCGTTTGGCGATAAACTTGCGAAAATAGGGCGCTATAGGTGGAATGGTCAAAAGAGTGGGCTGATCCAAATCATTTTCAATAGAGATCGTCCTTGGGTTAAAGCACGCCGGTGTACCAAATTTCATCAAAATATCTCAAAAACTGTGATCTGCAGCTTGAAAACATAATTACTTGGACTGGCATCGGACGGATCGACAGGCTTAGATGGATTCAGAATCATTTTTGATATAATAAAGGATAGGTCTATCTTAAGCGCTTCTGTGTATTACATATGTCCGCACAAATTTAATATGTCCTATACCACCAGTGGTTTAGAGTATAAAATATACATAATAGTTTTTTTAAGTAATACGTTATGTACGTAGTACGTGATTAAAACAAAATATTTAGAAAATTTTGATTCCGAAATTTAATTCAAAAAGTCATCGGAAAATACGAAAGCTGGGAGGGTATCGCGGCTACTTTGGAAGGAATGAAGGAATTGCTTCAAGTGAACTGTTTCTTCTGCTCAAAACCCCATTCCACACAAAACCCCATTCATATGGTAGCAAACCTTCTAAAATGTTTAAATGTTACAAAACTATAATACACTGATTAGTTCACCAAAATGTATAATAGCCAGAGCAAAGCAATAAGGCAATAAGCATTGTAATGAATTTAAATGAACTGTCGAACGTCGACACGTCGGCAACAGCGCAATTGATTAAGTCGAATTAATGTAAAAAAAAATACAGAGACTCCTGCTTATCAATAGCGATTGAGTTTGGTTGCATTTGTTGGGACCGATATGAGATATCTGACACGTGCATGTTTTTCAGATTGATAGGAAGAAAAACCAAGCGATAGTCCATGCCTTTCTTTATAATATGCAATGTTCATCTTATCTTCTATGGATTCTGAAAATCTAGTCCACAGCGAATAATAACTTCTCTGTCGTAACTAGTAATTATGTTTAGATAAAATTCCATGAGTTTAAAAACGCTTTTGAAATGTAAAATGGAATAAGTCGTAAGGGTCAGTACCTGATCGGCATTTCTTAACTATCGCTTTCTTTTAAGTAATTGCAGCTATTGTTGGTGTATGAAATGTCCTCGAATATATACAAATAATTTGCAAATAAAACTAAAAGTGTGTCCAATCGTGTGATCGGCAAACGGGAATATGAAACTAAAATTTCAAAATTTCTTGCGCAAAAACCAAGCAGTTGCCGATGTGAACGTATAAATGTTTGCGCGCATCCTTTAATAATGGCATCACAACCCGAAAAAAGAGTGCTAACTTCACAAAATTAAAAATTTGTTCGGCAGTTTTTGCGCAGAAATGTGGACACACTTAATGGAAAATTGTCTTCGTTTGCGAAGTAAACGTTCAGAGTTGGGTTTTCGTTTTTGTGTCAAATTTAAGCATAAATAAAGCAAATAAAGAAAAAAATTGATTCAAATAAACTAAGTATACATATATTACGCGTATAGAAGGTTTTTACGAAACTCATGAAAATTTTGTCTCCATTGCTGCGTTCGTCCTTGCAACATTAACGTAAAAGGAATGTGCGGTCATTTTCATTCTTTTAAGTAAGAGATAAGGATACGTTAGCGGTAAAGTAACAAACGAAAAATATGTTGAGGTTGAAAGTGTGTTGTCAAAAAGAATCATATAAATTAGAAATAGAAAAAGGAAACAAAATAGGAACAAAAGGCAGGTCATATAACTTGAGGCGATTGCTTGGTTTAAGCCGTTAAAAGGATAATACGGAATGATGAAAAACTTTAATTTACGGAATAGAATAAAGTCAGCTAAGGTGAAAATTCGGACTAAGAAAACCCATTTTGTTTGGACTATTATATTGACAGCGGATTATTCCATCTCTCAATCATCAGTTCAGCTTCAATACTTGACCACCACATCGATCTGTCTACATTTCGCAACAATTGTATAATGCTTTTGTCTCCACTAGGATTTTGCCTTGACAGATTTTTAAGGGTATTATTATAATAGAATTTAAAAAATCAAGTGTTCGTCTTTAATTTGCAAAAAAACAAAGTCATTGCACACGCCTGCTTATATGCCGCCATCCCTGCCCTAAGGTTTCCTATTAACTTTCTTTCTAATATCTTTCCGCTTATCTTGTCAAAAAATATCTCTATATTCCTTGAAAGATATTATTTTGATAATGTGTCAGCCGCTAATTTTACATAAAAATTGTCCTCTGCGTACAAAATGAGTACATTTTTACTCTTTCTAAGGAAAAATATTAAATTGCAAATGAAAATGGGGCAGAAAATTAATAAACGAACGACAGCGTCAGCAACAAAAATTCATCGTGTATTAAAAACTATTTCATTTAACACCAACAATGGTTTAACGGTGTCTGCAATTATGAAATTTGAATTTTAGGAATTTGTACAACCAAGAACAACATAATTCTGATCATGTCTCAGAGAACTTCGTTTCGCTTCGCATGTGTTTAAAATTGACCAAATAATATAAATAAAACGCTGAATGTATGCTTATTGGGATCATTTTGAATTATAACTCTCATGTAAC